AGATATTTCAATATCATCCCAAGTGGGACATCGACTAAGAGCAACATATGCTTGTCCTGATGAAAAAATATTTCCATTTAATGCAAGACATACTTTGGGTAAAGTTAAACCTTGTGTTTTATGAGCTGTTAAAGCAAAACAGTTTTGTAGGAGATATTGAGTTCGTTGACAATTATTCCATTTATTTCAAAATAATGAGTTTGTTTTGTAACATCTATATCACTTATAGTAATAAATAAAAATAGTAATTTTAATAAAATAATCACTTATATTAATTTTTATAAGTGATAAAAAAAAATGATTTTTTTTATTTATTTTTATTTATTAGTGATTACCGAAAAAAATAAAAAAATAAAATTTTTAATAAAAAATCGCTTATATTTATTTTTAAGCGATAAAAAAAATTTAATTTTTATTTTTAGTGATTACCAAAAATAATTTTCGATAATCACTATAAAAATAAAAATTAAATTTTTTTTTTTATAAAAAATCGCTTATATTTTTAGCAATTATCAAAAATGATTTTCGATAATCACTATAAAAATAAATTTTTAAGTGATAAAAATAGTAAAAAAAATTAATTATTTTACTATTTTCCATTAGTAATAGTAAAAAAATAATTTTTTACTATTTTTAATAAATTTATAGTTTGTTTATAAAAATAAATTTATTAAATAGTAAAAAAAAATTATTTTTTTACTATCGCTTATAGAAAATAGTAAAATATTTAATTTTCTATTAGTGATAGTAAATTTATTTTTCCATGTGATAGTAAAAAAATAACTATTTTTAATAAATTTATTTTTATATTGATTCACTAAAATAATTTTTTATAAAAATAGATTTATTAAATAGTAAAAAAAAATTATTTTTTTACTATCGCTTATAGAAAAATAATAAAATAATTTTCTATTAGCGATAGTAAAAAAAAAAATAATTTTACTTGTATTTTTAAAAATTTCAGAAATTATATAAACACCCGCTATTCTTTAGGTGGGTGGGTGGGTGGAGATTCTTGACCTTTTTTTTTTCCATTTCGGGTCACGAAAATCTTCCCAAAAAAGAGTATTGTTGGTAAGTGATTGAACTTAAGAACTTACCAATACTCACCAATTGGGTGAAGGTATTTTGTGCCGTGACTTCACCGAAAAAGGAATTACAATAGGGTAAAATCTATACTATGATAAATAGCATTTCGTACCGTACAGTTTATCGTCATACCTACCGGGGTGTTATAAAATTTTCGTATTTATTTATTATTTTTTTTTTATTTTTGAATAAAATAAATTCTAGAGATCGTCACATGAAAGAAATTTAGAATATATTTGTTTTGTTCCATTCGTTACTATTTTTGCCACGTTGCTGGATATAAAAACAGGATTAAATGAACACAAAGGATCGTACAGTAACTTGTATAAATTGATTGGCATAATCCATTTTCCAAATAATGTCTCAAGAAAATAATCATGATGATGCTATAAGAGAATAGGAGAAATGGATGCATATTTTAATTATTGAAGAAAATATCCCATTTTATCAATATTCTGAATTTGTGAATGTAAATTCAATCGGTAAAACGATTATAACGCTACTTTCGAAAATTGGGAATTCATGATAACATTTAAATTCTATGGCATTTCTAAACAAGGTAAGATGTAAAATATTTAATTTTTAAGAACCAATAATTAATTTTTTAATTTAATTATTTTTTTAGAGAATACCAACGATTATATTATTCTTGAATATACAAATAAATGGTTATCTTCGTCAATATTTGAAAATGAATTTCTAAAAAAATTGGATTGGAATGGGAATGCTAAATTAAATCTTGCTAAACGAATTGCAAATGTTTTGATGTATTTACATTCTAAAGACATTATTCATGGAAGATTGTTAATTACTTTCTTATTTTAAAAATATATAAATTTCACGAATTAATTATTTCGAATTTAATTATCGATTTTGATCAATTTACATTTAATTAGAATTCTGAAAATATTATTGTTCATGATGAGAACACTAAACTTAAAGATCCGGGTATGATTTTTGTTTATCCAAAATCATTAAGATTCCTTAGAAATATTATCGGTCCAATTCAATATATAGACCCTCAATATTTGGAAAATTTCAACACAATTTGTAAAAATAAGAATTCGGATATTTACAGTTTGGAAATTATACTATGGGAAATTTCTAGTGGCACTCCTCCTTTCTTCATCAAACATTGATTTATTAGGTAAAATCGTGAAAGGGAAAAGAGAAATGATTATTCCTGAAATACCTACTAAATACGAGGAATTACAGTATATACTCTGGTACAAATTTATAATAATTTATTTAAATCATTTATATTAACTACATGATCAATAATAAATTATTTAAGTAATTTAATCTATTTAATAGATTGCTGGAACAATAGAAAATAATTATCTCCAAAATTTCTCAATCATTACCTCACAATGTCACAGATGAAATTATCATCGTTAAATTAGAAATTCCTCAATCACAACCTGATAATGTTACTGATGAAATTAATTTGGAAAGACAAAAAGTAAGTTGTGTTATTTACATTTTATATTTTTATATATTTATTAAATTGTAAAATATTCTTTTTTTTACGACAAAAGGATGAACTAAAAATGAGCGATAAAGCCCTTTTAATTCTTCCAACACAAGAAGAACAAATTAAGCTTCTGGAAGATCATGCAACAGAAGAGCTTTTGGAAGTCTATAAGAAGAATGTTCAGTTTAATGACGCCGCCAAATACTTACAATCGCTTGGAAAATTCAAAAATGCTTCAGTCATGCATGCTATGCAACAATCTTGATAAAGAAGAGAATATTATCGATTCGTTATGCTACCTTTTACATTCTTGAAGAGTAATTATACTAGTAGATACGATGAACAGCGATGAAAGTACCCTAAAAGAAAAAGAGTTACTTAAATTACTTAACGATGCATTTCATTAGACATCACCACGAAATTCAAGTCTCAATCTTTAAAGAAATCTGAGAAATGGCGTCGACTAATGGGAGAGTTCCAGTTATATTTAGCTTATTTGAAGAGTGACCTAAATGGATTCATAAATACATTCAATTTTTCCAGAGGCGTAATGATACCATTGCAGAGTTTCGGGCATTTTGAAATCTCACCAAAGTCCATTAATATTGAGTATTGGCATGAACGATTGCAATATCTAATGAAGCTCTGCAAATTAGGCTATTATTTTTTTATACACGTAAAAATGTTCACAACAAGGAGAAAATCAACAAAAATTTCGATGACATTTTTTCGTTGAAGTACAAGATCGACCAGAAAAACGGAAAATTTCTTTTGACAATCTGCTCGTTTGTCATATGAGCGAAATGCATGATAAAATACAATAGAAGATTTAGAAGATTGGAATGTTTATAACGTGGATATTGTGCACAAGACAATCTCGAAGTTTCTTGCTTTATACATATATGATCTTGTATATAACGCCGACCGAGAGGGTAGAAATATTTCTGATATAGTTTATGAAGTTTGCAACGAGTATTTGGAATGTAAAGTATAATTGCCGGAATCATCACGTGATTCCCACGCCATCAATTCTTCACAAACGTATTACGTTTGTATGTCTTCAGTCACTGTAACATGACAATTACATACAATATACCTTCTTCGCTTACTTATTGAGGAAAAAAGTAAATTTGTTCTGAGTAAACAAAGGTTTTGGTTAGAAAGACTGGTACATTGTCATTTTCGCTATCAAGTTGTCCAGAGATTACCTATGCAGCAATCATCAAACTTCCTAGGCACACATATGTTATGTTTGTTGAAATCATTTATAAAGCTTGGTTAGATAAAGAATTTGATCCCTATAACTTTGCAAAAATGTTAAAATGCATATTTGTTTTACTTCAGTTACGGTGCAAATGGGCATCGATAAATTTCATTGGGAAATAATAAAGAATGAAAAATCTTATAACAATTTTACAGTCCAAGAAGTTGCTTTATTCGTAGAATCTCTCCGCACTAACTTAGTGATTGAAACAATAAATCAATCAAAGGAATTCATTAATTATGCTGTAGAAAATTCTGAACAAGTTAATATAGTTACGTCTGAAGCTTTTGGTTACCTTACATCTTTTATGGACTTCACAACGTTTTTAATTTTAGCTGATCGTCCTGGATATTGTGATTTTTGCCTTTCCCGAAGTTATTTGGTTAACTATTATGATGCATTCAACTTGAACCCATCCCTTGTACTTCTAGAATGCAGAAATAAATACGATAGAATAACCTATAACAATGAAATCACATATTTATCTTTTCAAGCTAAAAAACTTCCTCAAAGCGATGATTTATAGGAAGATGTATTACCCGATAATTATCCTTCGGTTGATACGGCTTCTGATCTGTCTGAACGAACCCGCTTTAACATAAAGTGTATTAATTATTTTAAAAGCCCGAGCAAAAGACTGAGCAACGAACTTTACATCGAGAAGATCGAGAAGTACAATAAATATCCGTTAGTAATTTTATCAAAGTAATTTTGTAAACAATCTGAATGATGACCTTAAAGAGAATGGCTTTGATTCACTAGTTATAGTTTACTACAACTGGAGAGGAGTGTCTAGATTTTCTTGGGAGAAGTCTGGGATCACAAAGATTTCATATCGTACATATCGTAGTATTGAAGAATTGTTCTTCTTTTCAGAAAATTACAACCAACGTCCCAAACGATCAAATTTCATTCCAGTCAGCTGATGGCAGTGCAGTGAACAGAATTTTGTTCCTTGCTGATGATGATCGTGATGACGATGGTTATCGTGATACTGATGATGATGATGATGACGACGGGACGATGATGATGATGGTGGTGATCATTATGAAGAGATGAGCCAGATACAGCCATGATCTTCTGTGAGATTCAAACAGTCACAAGCATAGCATGCTCTTAATAGTAGATATCATTGCGGAATTTACTTTAAACTGCAAGACAATGGATAAAATTAAGAATAAATTGAACAAAAATTGTTAATGATAATAGATCTTGAAATTCATTTGGCTCATTTCTATACATATTATATTTTAGGTTTATCCATAATAAAATGCTAAGTTATCATTGGAATCATTATCAACAACAGGAACTCAGAGTAATATAAAGAAGCAAATATTGAACGGATAGAAAACGAATTACAACAAGCGAAGGAAACTATTGATTTGGTTCGGAAATGGATAGAAAAATGTAATGAATTTATTGAGCTTAATTAGATTTTTGGGTTTATAACGATTATGTATATTTGTTAGTTCTCAACCATTTGTAAATAAAAAAAATATTTTGAACCCAATAAATGGAATTTTAGGAAATATTTTTTCAATAATATAAAACTGGCAAGAAAATTACAATTAAAAATTTTTTAAAAATTTTTTATTAATTTATTAATATTATTTAAAAATAACAGATAAGAATTTGGCTTTTGTTATTATTATTTATAGTAATTAGAGATTAGATAAAAATATATTTTACATTATGCGGTTATTCATATTTACGTAGAAATTCAAGATAATATTTTGTAAGAAACGGTGAAAATATCTAATTCAGAAGATTATTCATCAAAAAGTTTAGGTAATTATGCATTTCTGTTTACATATTTACATATTTTTACATATTTAGCATTCTTTCATCGTATCGATAATAAAGGACAACCATTTCCAATTTATATTTGAAACCATTGAAATTATTATGGGCAGATAATGGGAATTCAACGATAACATGAGTTAGTAAGTTAGCACATGATATTCTTTTCTTTTTTAGTTTCTTTGTATCGTTAGATAGAAAATTTTCACAAAATTATGTTCCATCGGATCAAGATATTTTATATACACGAATGAATACTACTGATATTGTTGAAACTATATTTCGTTTGGGTCCACTTGCCTATCGATCAGTAAATTTGTTGTTTATATTTATATCTGTTATTTATATCTTTACATAATTCCTTTATTAAATAATAATATTCTATTTCATCTCTCTTTATCATTTTTATCATTTATTTGCTATATGTAGAATGTTTGATGTAGGTGGTTAAAGATCAGAACGTAAAAAATGGATTCATTGTTTTGAAGATGTTACAGCTGTATTATTTTTTATTTTATTTAATTATTAAATATTAATTTTATAATTTAAATTTTTATTAAAGATCTAATTCTAAATGCACATTTTACCTTAATCTATCCATTTCGATCTTCTGAAAATTCCAAATATTCATCACTAGTCATATTTCTATTTAATATTTCGATCATGTTCAATTGACGATATTTAAAAAATAATTTAAAATAGGTAAATCGTTTAATGATTTTGGGAAGTGATTTCGAGAATTCTGAATAATGCAATGAAAAGAATGAAAAGAATGAAGTTGAATCTAGTAAGTTATAATAATATTATTATTTCTAATAATTTATTTATTTTACATTTTATATTTATTCATCATTTATATTTCGATTCTATAGGAGATAAAATATTTTGCTATATTTAAATCAACGCGTTCACGTGAGTGATGATAGTTATTTTATTTATTTATTTATAAATATATATACGAATAAAAATTAATTGCTTCAAGGTTCTTTTACCTCGTTCCGATCACTAATTTATTTATTAATCATTAATATGTCAAAATAATAATAGATAAAATAAAAAAAAATTTATTAATTAAAAAAATTTTAATCCCGTGTAAATCTTTTGAATTTTTTACATAAAATTGAAATTAAATATTTTTTTTTTTTTATGATGACAACTTGGACATCGAGCGATACTTTGTTAAAATAAATAATTTAAACAAATGAAATGAAATTAAAAAATATATATTTTTTAAATAACAACTTGGACATCGTGCGATATTTTGTTAAAATAAATAATTAAATTTAATTTGAAATGAAATTAAATAAATGAAATGAAATTGAAATAAATAAATATATATTTTTTAAATAAAAACTTGGACATCGTGCGATATTTTGTTAAAATAAATAATTAAATTTAATTTGAAATGAAATTAAATAAATGAAATGA